AAATCTAATGGAAAAAAAGAATTAATTTTATTTTTTTTTCGCCCTCCTCAAAAAAATTGCCATATAAAAACCCAAGAAATAAGGAATAAAAAGTCTAGCCTAACCTCTTATATGTTTAACCTTGTGGAAAATAAAATAAAAATGATAGACATTTACTCTATATTCGATTGATCTTCAAATACAGTACTAGTAATTTACACACTTGTAAAAAAAATACTTTTTACAGTATTCAGCGCACGTCACTTCCATGCCAGAAACAGGTGGCCGCACCAGCAAGGGACATGGCTACAATTCAGTTTCAATTTTACTTGATGATGATTTATTATTTTATTTTATTTTTTTATCACAAATGTCACAAACCAAAAACATGATTGTATAGGTTGGCATTTCAAAGACACTTTCAGAAATTATATATCAGAATATATACAGAATATCATTTTCTGATGACAACAATAGATGGTGCTACCCCGAGAAACATGTGGAAACATCTCTATTTCATGAAAGGAGTGACGCTCTAATCCTAATTTACCTGAAACCAAATTTATTTAGATTAAAGTAAGTATTTCCTTCAATCCATTGTGCAGTATTTTTATTTTTTTTGAGGATTAATGAAACTGTACTATTTCGTTTATTTTTTTCATTGTTATATTTGTCTTTGTTGAACAGGTTAAATGGAAGCAGAGGTCTGTCTTTTGTCACTCTGTACATGAAATTAGAGGTATATGAATGCCAGCCATTGACTGCAAATATTATCATGTAGTTGTTTTGCAATAAATTATACATATTAAACACAAAATAAATATTTCTATTTCTTTCTTTCCTTATAACAAAATCTACCTATCTATCTTTTTTAGCCTGTCACAATATTTCAATCCATTACAGCAAACTATTAAAATACACATGGAATATACATAAAATATGCCATTAGAATGCGATTAGTTAATCAGAATTTACAGATAAACAAAAATTTATTATCAGAAAGCACTGTGCAGGAACAGTTTCAATCAATTTGAGCATAGTGTTGCTATGATACAGAATAAGCCAGTTGAAAACAGTTCAATAGTATGCAAATTGGTATGCAAATTAGCATGCAAATTGTCAGTAAAATATTATACCGTGATTGGTTGTCAAACGAGAAAATCAGGAAATAAATAAACATACTCACAGGTGATCGTGTCATTGGTGGTATTGTGGGAGATGCTAGTTTCACAATATCTTTGATACCTTCTAGGGAGTTACCTGCAAGTATTAGTGCTAAGCCAGTTCCTCTGTGAGGCGCCAAGAACAGAACGCCAGTCTTGGGGTCTGTGAATTGACATTCACCGAGGGTTATACCTAAAACAAATACAAATCTGTGCTGTCATGTTTACTCTGGAATACTGAAAAATCATTATTTGTCACTGGTATTTAAAATTTTACTATTTTAATAAATTCACAGAATTCTATTTTTACAAGTTCGCATGAATTTAAATTATCAGATTTCAATTAAATAAAACTGAATAATTAATACACTTTGAACTTGCTATCAAAAATAATACAACTACAGTACTTTATTGTATGTTTCTTACTTTTATCTTCATTTACTAATGATGATGCTTCTGCATCCCGAATTATTTTGGATGTCCAGCTATTTTCATTTGGTCCTCCAAGAACTATCAAATTATGTTGATGAGCTACTTCATCTGTAAGGTCAACGTCCTTTATCACTGGTGCTATCGTGTCAGAGGTCAAGAAGAAGAGATTTGCTATGTACACAGACAACTGTTGAAGGGTTGACGTGAATTCTGATGAACTCTTTGTACCTATAATGTCAA